GGGGGAAGGCTGCTCGGCAGGAAGAGCAGCGGAGGAGATGGTGCTCCCCCCGCTAGCCCACCCCGGCACCGGGAAGGACAGCTTTCTCAGGTGCCAGGGATAACGGAGCCGGGGCCGAAAGATGCAGCTCGTTCTCCCTGAGCCAGGCAGCTCCGCAGGCCCGAGGGGTGAAGGCCGAGCTCAGCCCGAGGGGCAGAGGTGAGCAGCCCCACTCCGCAAGCTGGAGCAGCCCTGCCTTCCCCCGCTGAGCTGCTCCCTGTGCCCTGCAGCCCTGCCAGCAGCACGCAATCCAACAGCCCCTCTCCAGCAGGAACGGGGTCCAGGCCTCAACACCCCAGCTGCCCCTCCAGCATCCCCCGCCTGTCCCCGGAGCTCAGGCTGGCAGTTCCCACTTCGCTCTCCTCCCAGACCCGCAGCGGGGAGTATTGCTTAGAGACGCAGCAGCGCGCGCTCCGCCTATGCTGAAACGTAAGGAAGACGAGGAGCAGCGGGCAGAGCCGGCGGTTCCCAACCAGCTCCCAGGACCCACAGCCATTTCTCAGTCTCGGGTACCGAAGGGGAGGTAACAGCCGTGTATCCTAGTGTTAATACTGGGAGCAAAAGCAGTGCCAGGATTTACCAGCTTTAACATCTCCGTGAGCTGGAACTACGCCGGTAGCCAAGCCGTGTGTGCCCCTGCGCGGCCCTCGGCTGTCCCCCACAATGGCACCAGTGTTCCCAGTACAGCTGGGGTCTGCTCAGAGCTCAGAGCATGTGTGCGCTGGGGCAAATCACGGTTTGGAGCAGGCCTCGGGGGAAGGATTGCCCCAGTCAAGCGAAGAAGAGACCTCCAGGGAAACAGGGAACAGAGCTGAGGGCAGCAGCATGGAGGGGAGAGAATTCCAAACACTGTCACAGAAATGCCACAATGGGAGGAGTTTCTATGTGCCTTGGAGAGCAAGTACGGGATGCAGTACACTCCCAGGCCTGGGAAAGGAGCCATCCACCAGCCCCGTTAGTCACGATGCAGACACCCTGCCTGGAAAGACGTTCCCCTGCCCCCACAGCAGGATTTACCTCTAGCTACGGCCCCCTCGAGCGGCATTGCACTGCGCAGAACGACAGCTGGATTCACAAAAACGCATCTCTGGGGGTCCTTAAAG